CTTCAGGGAAGTTTCCTTCATCCCCTGAGATTGAATTTGACAAGCCTGTTGTGCAAACTCACAGCATCTTGCTTCCCTCATAATTTTTAATCACACATCTCTAGGTTTCTCATGTATTTAATTCCTAGTTTCCTACTAGACTATTGTGAATGAAATACCTTTAGCCCCCAATAGCCATTTCTTTGCCCATCTCTGTTTCTGACCCTACATCCAAAAGATTCCATGTTTCCCATCACCTTCTGATAATATTCTAAAACTATCCTGTCATTATTCTCCATCACTCTTTCAAACCCTTTTGGAATGTATTAACTTAGCAGACCACCAGATTCCGCCAATCACAAAGCTAAGAATGTCAGCAGACCACATCTGAGACCTATGGTAGAAACCTCTACTTTGCTGTGACCTGCCTACTGAATGTATTTGAAAGTGTCTTGATTAATGACTTTTGTTCTGTTACTATAAAAACATAATGTAACTGTTACCATGCTGGAACATGGAATTTGGGGTAACCTGAATCTGTATTCCCGGGCCATGGGCATTCATATTTGGCTCCAGAATAAACTCCCTCTTATCCCTCAAAAAAATAATAACAATAGTCGAGGTCAAGGTAACCAGCATTGTTCAACCCTAGAGTCTTCCCTCAATTTTACTTTTTGTCCAATTTATAAAAATGGAATTGAAGTTATAAAAGCTTTGAGACACAAATTTTAGAGTGTATGATTTTCTTATTAAATGGAAAGTTGTGAATATAGCCATTAAAAATAATACATCACAGAAGCATCTAATTTGAACAGTGAGAGTATATACTACTACACAGGAAATAAAGGGGTATCAACCCCAAAGGGCTCAGGAGTTGACTCAGTCAACTATCTCAACAGACTAGGGGTATACCCACCACCCAACCTAAAATTTATTGCAAATACCTACCAATATTAGAAAAATTTAAGTCACTATAAAATCAGCAGGTCTTCAGTAATGATGAAGGCAGTTTCTTAGCAGTTAAGACCTTTAAAGAGTCTGGCAGTTCTCCTAATAACTAATTTGGAGCCACTTACAGACCAGTTGAAGAATCTCTAGACTTACATCATCTAATGACATAGTCTTAGCAGAGACACAAAATGTGAGAAATGGTAATAAGATGCACTTACTGAAACCGTGCTGTGTGCAGATGCCATTCTAAATGCTTTGTATCAACCCCTCTTACTGTGCTGCTGTAACCACTGGGTAAGGAGGGTCTTACTATGGCTCCCATTTGAAGATGAGTTATTTGCTATTAACTTATCCTGGGTCATAGAGCTAGTAAGTAAAGATTTAAACTGAACTAAACAGACTGTTTCCAGAATTAATACTTTCAACAACTGTCCTAAACTGAACTTATTAATATTTTTGAAATCAGAAAAATGTAGAAATAAAAAGCTTTCTTAACATCAGTATATGAAGAGAGTATCCACAGCCAGATATAAGGCTTGAAAAGACTAAATAGTATGTGTCTCACCACTCCCATCACATAGGTAAGGGGAGCTACCACTGAACTGAGCAGCACAAGGCCTCTAAGAGTAAGGACATTAACACAGCTGTTGATCCATACATCTTTCTTGTTGTGAAATTCTTAGTAATTTCAATTTAGGACAGCTGCTGAAAGTTTTAACTCTGGAAAAAGACTGTTGAATTTCAGTTATGATTCCACTGGAATTCAAGCTCAAAGAGTTGCTTTTCCCACCTGGTATACCCTCATTGCTTATCACATGATAAGGTCTCAGTAGATATTTGTTGAATCAGCCCAGCCAGTAAGTGATTAATTACCATATTGAGCAGCGTCCTGCACTTTTGTATTTCTTAGAGAAAGTGAGGGGTCACCTTTTGTTAAGTGCAGTGTGCTAGAAAGAACTGGGCGTACTCCTAGGCAGGAATCATGTGAGTGCAGGTTCTAGCTCTAGTTCTGCACTAACGTGAAGTCAATCTTGATCTCTGTGAGGTGCTACATGTCTTTCAAAAGGGCATAAAAGTACTAAAGGTAATGGAGTGATTGTGGCCAAGTAACAACATCTAAGACTAGAGATGGGAGAGGACTGTAATTGATCACATCTTCGGTGTCCATTTATGATTATAATATGTTCAGATATATACATTGATGAAAAATGGAAAAAATCCGAAATAATAAAATCCTCTCTCTTAGCAGTGTGGCCTTTTGCCAGTCACTTCCCCTACCTGGATTCATCTTTGTATATAAAATGAGTAGGTTCACTTAGCTATTCTCCAGTTACTTTTCAGTGTTAGAATATTATTTCTAGATGTGAGACCACTATTTGTCATTGTTTAAAATGCCCAGGATTTTAACAATACTAAAGAATCAGGTCATAAATGTAAAAGTAATTATAATAATACTTTTTATGATGAGGTCTCATACGTTAGTGAGTCTGGCCTTAGACCTGTAATTCTCCTGGCTCAGCACTCTGGGTGCTGGAATTGCAGGTGTATGCCATAATATCTGTATTACAGTTCATTTTCAAATCAAAGTATAAATACTGACCTCCAAGTAACTCTGGCTAAACAGTAACAAGACCATGAAAAACACTAAAAAAACTAAACACCAAATGCAAATAATCAAAAAATACCAAGAAAGTTTTTTTAGTTTACTTTATGCTTTTTGCTGAATAAGAGTTTGAATAATTATCACATAATTCTTATAGGTGGCAATCCCACAAGAGCTGTTGTGTTGCTAGCCACTCATCAGATCAAAAGGATTCTATGACTTTGTCATTTGGAGCCGAGACCACCCATTTGATGCTCTCAGGAGATAGGTAAGGATTGTTTATTAACACATTCCATTGAATCTACTTTTCACTCATCACAATCACATGCACTATGAAATGAAGAGGGCATCCTTCACTTACCTTTGTTCCTGTCCACAGCTTTTCCCCAGGAAGACTAAAAACCAAAATATTCCCCAAAGGCCCATGATTTTAGAGAACATAAAAACCATTGACACCACCTCCTAGAAGCTGCTTTCATTTTAAGTAAAGTGAACCTGAAATTTTTGGCTAAACTAAATCTTGTTAATTATTAACATGAGAAAAATAGATTGTTAAGTAAGAAACAAAATCAGAACTAAGACACCCTTTCATGCCCAGGAACACTGACAGGAGGAATTTCATAGGATTTTACACCCAGGCAGCTTACCTTTATTAACACAATAGGATAGGCCTGAACTAAACAAGGCTAACAAGGTCATCTGTTTTAGAGAAATCATGAATGATAGTGACCTCAGTCTTGAAAATGGGCTAAGCGTATCCTAGATCTTCCAAGGGAGTCCAAGGAATACAACCTCATCTGTCCCAGCCTGCAGAAGACATGATGCAGTGACTAAGTCATGCTGAGTTTGATGGCTCATTCTCTAAGAAATCAGACACTGTGGGGCTAGAGAGATAGCTCAGCGGCTCGGAGGAGCACTGACTGCTCTTGCATAGGACCGGGGTTCGGTTCCCAGCACCCACATGATGGCTAACAACTGTAATTCCAGTTTCAGAGGATTTGATGTAGCTCTTCTGGCCTCCGTGGGCATTGCATGACATGGGTGCACTTACATACATGCAAGCAAAACACTTACACACATGAAAATAAAATGAAAAATAATATATTTTTAAAAAAGAAATTACACACTTGAGTATTTATCAGAGAATGTACAAGTTCCCATATCTATTAATTCATGTACCACACATTCAAAATTGGCACTCATTCAGACATGGAGTGTTTTATTTAAAAATTCATTTTTCAGTAAGATTTTAATAATTTTAATAAAAGAACTGAAGGAGTGTTTGAAGAAAGAGATTGAAGAAGATAACAGAAGATGGAAAGGCCTCCCGTGATCATGGGTTGATAGAATTAATATTTTGAAAATGACCATCCTACCCAAAGTAATTTATAGATTTAATGCAATCACAATCAAAATCCCCATGACATTTTTCATAGAAATAAAAAAAAAACACATCCTAGAATTCATATGGAGCCAGAAAAGACCCTGGATAGCCAAAGCAATCTTAAAAAAGCAATGTTAGAGGGACTACCATACCAAATTCAGACAATATTACAAAGCTATAGTCATACAAAAAGCACAGTATTGGTATGAAAACAGACGTGTAGATCAATGGAACAAAATGGAAGACTTAAACATGAGTGCAAACAATTTCAGCCACCTGATATTTGACAAAGATGCCAAAAATACACACTGGAGGAAAGAGAGCATCTTCAACAAGTGGTACTGGGAAAACTGAATCTCTTCATTTAGCAGGATGAAATTAGACTCATATCTATCACCTTGTATAAAAAAAAAAAAACAAAAAAAAAAACCTCCAAATGGATCAAAGACCTCAATGTGAAACCTGAAATTCTGAAACTGTTTGAAGAAAACATAGGCAGTGCCCTACAAGAAACAGGTCTAGGAAACGACTTTCTAAATCAGACTTTATCATGAATTAAGGTCAATGATTGACAAATGAGACCTCATTAAATTAGAAGGCTTCTGTATAGCAAATGAAACAACCATCAAGTGAAGAGGAAGCCCACAGAGTGGGCAAAAAAGTCTTTGCCAGATATACATCTGATAGAGGATTAATTTCCAAAATTTACAAAGAACTCAAAAGACAAAGAATCAAGACCCAATTAAAAAATGGGCTACAGATCTGAACATAGAGTTCCCCAAAGAAGAAATCAAAATGGCCAAGAAATACCTTAAAAAGTGTTCAACATCCTTAGTTATTAGGGAAATGCAAATTAAAACTACTTTAAAGAACAGCTAAGATCAAGAAAAAAAACGACAACAAATGCTGGTGAGGATGTGGGGAAAGGATTTGCTGCTGGAGGGATTGCAAACTGGTACACACATTGTGTAAATCAGCGTGGAGAACTTTTTTTAAATTTTTATTTATTATTTTTATTTTATGTGTATGTGTGTATTGCCTGCATGTAGGTAAGTGCACCCGTTTCATGCAATGCCCATGTAGGACAGAAGAGGCTGTCGGATCCCCTGGTACTGGAGTTATGGACAGTTGTTAGCTGCTATGTGGGTGCTGGGATTCGAACCCGGGTCTTCTGCAAGAACAGCCAGTGTTCTTAACCAATGAGCCATCTCTCCAGCCCCGGAGAACTCTTTAAAAACTAAAAATAGAATCCATATCACTCCTTGGCATATACCCAAAGGACTCACTATCCTACTACAGATGTAATTGCTCAGCCATGTTTGTTGCTGTTCTTTTCACAAGAGGTAGGAAATGGAAATAACCTAAATGTCCCTCAATCAATTAATGACTAATGAAAATGTGGTATATTCCCACTATGGAGTTCTACTCAGCAGTAATGAAAAGGAAATCATGAAATGTAAATGGATGGAATTCAAAACCATTATATTAAGTGAAATAACCCAAACTCAGAAAAACACTTGACACATCTCTCTCTCTCTCTCTCTCTCTCTCTCTCTCTCTCTCTCTCTCTCTCTCTCGGACATTAGTTCTAAATCTTTAGATGTGAGTATATATCCTGATGGAATCACAGAAGCCAGGAAAATGGAAAGTAAACATAGGGTGAAAGGGGAAGAAGGCATTCTAGAGAGGGGCAGTAGAACACAGGAGTTATCGAGGGCGATATGTGGAAAATGGAGAGCGCTCTAATTGGGGAAGGAGGAGGGAGGGCTATACAGGGCCAGAGAGATGAAAGAGAGGAAAACAAAAGGGAAATGTAGTATTTACTAAATCTACTGAAAATCACACATATAATACAAATGTGAGTGTATGTGTACAGCTGATGGCTATATAACAAAAATCATAGCATCAGTCAGGAGAAACCGCCCTTTGAGTCGTTGGTCAGGGTAGTCCAAAAAGACTCCCAAAGTAGCACAGACTATTTCCACAGCCCTTGATTGTCTCCCAGAACTTGAAGGTAAGACCCTATTGCTGAAGACAGGATATACATTGAACACAGGACTTGGAGTCACTAGCTCGAACTTTCCTGGAAGCCTCCTTCCTGAAGAGTAGCTCTTATAATATGTAGAGGATACTGTGCAAGCTGCCAATGGAGAAAACCGATCAATGATCTTTCCCAGCTGTAAGTCTGCTAAACACAACAATTACCGGCTCAGCAAATTATCTCTATTGCTGCAGTAGTGGCACGTTTATTTTGGGGTAATCAACAGCTGCCTAATTGGACTTAAGGCCTACTCAGTAGAGGGAACTCATGAGTGGTACTATAAACATAACCAAATACGCATGGCTGGAGAGGTCGTAGATCCAGGAGAGAAAACTACTTTTGTCACATCCCTAGAACATAAATTCTTACTGTACTCTAAATATGTATCCTTATATTTACAGGCGAGGTACCTCTCACCACTCATCAAAAAAGCTTCTTTTTGCAATAGATGGAGACTATTACAGAGTTCCACAAATGGTCAAATGCAGAGAATACCCCACCCTAAGTGACACATCTACAATGCAACCTGTACACCTAAGGCTCATGGGACACTGCAGAAGAGGGGGCAGAAAGAATGTAATGGCCAGAGGGACAAGACACCTGTTGCTATTTAATACATTCTATGTTAAATGTTAAATCTGTAGTGAAATGCTTCTTCTAATCATGTAGTTATTAAAAAATTTAAAAATGATTAAAAATAATAAGAATAATTAGTAGATGTGAAAAACATTACCATTGAAATCTACCTGATGACTTTATATCCATGCTCAGATGCCAA